ACTCAAACAATCTTAAAGGTGTGTTCTTCACAATAACTTGTTATATTCGAAAAAATTAATTTTTTTATATATTAATTTTAAAAATTATACTTAATTTGAATTTAGTTTAGAAGACTACATTTCCTAACTTGTAAATCTAAAACTTCAGGGGTTATGAATCTATCCATTGTTCTTTGTGTACTAATTTGTCTTTAAAAAAAGAAATGAATGTGAATACATGTTATGAATAACCTGGATGCAGAAAAGAAGGCCTCTCCGAATTCTTCCATTCAATGGTTCTTATCCAACTAGCTCAATGGCAAAAATGACTTGCTGTTTTGGTCAATCGTGCATTAATGCGTTCTAATTGTGTGGATATGATTCGGTTGCTTGAATATCTACCCAAAATTATGTTAAGCCTTAAAAGGGATAGGGAAGTTCTTTGTCTGCCCCTACAATGGGGAAACAATAAAATATTTGTGCTTTTAAGTGAATGAGGATTAAAAAATAAAAAATTTAACTAAAAAAGTAATTTTATGTGTCAATTTAAAAAGAAAAAAGAAAAAATTTTAAATAGAAAAAAGAAAATATTTTAAATAGAAAAATAATTGATACAAACTCAGTTTAATTCATTTTTTTACATTTGTCTCAATTCAGTTGTTAAAATACGATATAAATATAGTTAATTCAATCAGTTTTTACATCTTATATACATGAGTTATATCTTTTAGTTTGTCTGTTTTTAATTTTTAACTAAAAAATAATAATTTTTTTAATAAATGTATTATGCAGTGTGTTGAATTGAAGTTTGTACCAATCATTATTTTTTTAAAACACATTCGTTAGTCTTTAATAATAAATTAATAGTAATTGATAATGTAATATAGAAACCATTAGTTGAAAGAAAAATATAAACATATATTAAGTAAAATATTATATACTATGAACAAAGAAAAAAAATAAAGATATTAATGAAAAACTATTTTATAAAAAAAAATAATAAACAATTCGTATTCAATTAATTTACTTTTTCTCATATTTTATTTTATCTTTATTTTCTCCATCTTTCTCTTTATCATTAAAAGTAATCTTCAACAATAGAAATACTAAAAAATGATTAAAATGGTATAAAATAAGAAAAGATAGAAATGATAAAAAGAAGACGTTAAGGGACCAACTAAACTTTTTACAAAAGTTTAGGGGGGGCTTGTGCCTCCTCACGTAGTCAGGCCCCTTGGCTCTGTCGGTGCATGAAGCCTCATCGTTTGGCTTCAAACGCTCATTCCCTCTCCCCACCTCTCTCCCCCCATGAGGTTCTCATGTCCTATTAAAGAGAAAAAAAACCATGTGGCCTTCTAAAATATACAAATTAACATCCACTGTTCTTTTCACTTGCGTTCAATCAAGTCATCTTTTTTTTTTTTTTTT